TTTTCTTGCCAATATTTAATAATTGTTATTTTTATTTGTTGAACAATGCCATTATTTTGTAGATGATAATATTTACAATAATAATCATATTGTGATATAGCAGTTAATTTCGATTGATAAACAAAACAACGAAATTCCATCGATGGATCTAATAAATTATTCCATTCACGAATGATTATATTGTTATTCCAATCATGTAGTTTAATATTATTGATATTAGCAACTTTATTATCTTTTACTTGTTGGCAATCGAGTACTTCTATTAAATCATAATAAACTCTTTCACTTGATAGAATCAGATTTAATGCTTGAATTTCATCAGTAACTTTTAAAGAATGAAATTGAGCATAACAATAAGCAATCATTTGCATATTTGCTTTGCCCTCAATTGATTTATATTCATCTGGATATTGGACTTGTAATTCGTTTAGTTTTTTATTATAGAATTGACTGATTTTTCGAGAATCTAAGCGTATTCCATCTTTTGGACTTCGTGAACTTAAACGAATAAAAGTACCATTACTTTGAAATTTATTTGTTTTTGAATTGAATATTTGTTCTTTTAGTTGATTTTGTATTGATGTTATAAGTTGTATGTCATTGATATTTAATAATTTTGTTGAACTATATCGTGTTTGATAAAAGTTAACAAACGCTTGAGCAATTGATGGAGAAATTGGAATAAATTCAGTGTAAAATGTTTCACTTTGTATGATCTTATACCAAGGTTCAACATTAAAATGAACGTTTTCACAACGTTTTAATAACTGATCGTCATACCGTCCTCTTGCAGTTTTAGTTGTATTATTAGAATCAGTTTTAACATTGGACTCGGATTCACTGTTGAAACTATCGTCACGTATTGAAATTTCTTTCTGTCCCATTATTGGTCTTGTAAATATATCTACAACAAAGAAAAACTATGAAAAATTGTAATCGAGTCATATCAGAACTGTAATACATTGTTTTTGTATTTTTTATATGTTAAAATGAATCATAGTTATTTGCTCAACAAAGTCATATTTTCATTGTTATCGTCAAAAAAAAATGATAAGATCTTTTATAAATTATATGGAGGCTTTAGCTGCACATAAACAACATTTGAGAGCGACAACATAAATGAAAAGAAACTGTCAACAGAATGAAAAATGTTGCTAAAAATTGTGAGTCACCTTTTAAAAAGCAGTAGGTATGTCAGAAATATCAATTAATTCTCGTAACTATTCAATAAAAAGATGGTGATATACATCTCATGACAATTTCTCTGTGGGACACTGTATGACGTAAATGGATTACAAAGTAATTCATTTTCATCGAATGTTTATGAAGATTCTGGGTAGGGTTTAGTAGAGTCTACACATCGACACCCACACTCACACCCAGTGTAAACATTTGTAAGCTGCCTATAGTAAAAGTACAAATATTAAAAACAAAATTTGTCCTTGAAATTGTTCTAGGCCGTCATTACATAGTAAGTAGATGATTGACAATAATAGTAGTCATGTTTCAAACTATGGCACGAGTCTATTAAATGTTTATATCGCAGAAGCAATTTCAGATTGCTTTTGCGACACTTTTTTCTTCTATAAAGATTACTGTTTTGGAGAAAAATTAAGTGCTTAAGAAAGCAGTGGGGCAATATCAAATTTCTATTTATCGAAAGATCACGTCGTGCGCTTCTTCACTTTCGGCAAATGCGAAAAACATTACCTATGCATTAGATATAAAGACGGGCATCGCCGCTATTCTGTCTCATTTTAACGCAAACGATGGTTTCCACAGTAATTCGTTGTTTCGTATTCGTTCTATTCAGGTAATTCTAAAACCTATTTTTTTCTATGCATCTAATGTTGAACAATCATCCTTTTAAGTCTTACAAGTTTGATTCTTGTTTCATTTCACATATTCTGCTATTAATTTAGTATGTTGCAAGTTCGAGTAAGATCTCAATTCTGCCATAGAATATCTCAATATGATCGATGTTCGCCAAATAGTGCATGCGCCTGTTTCTATATAGCAGGTGCTATTGACATTGGTATTTGTGCCGATGAATTCGTAGATTGTTCTGAGCTCGTTCCATGTGAACAGCCAAACAATCTTTGCCATGAGCTTAACCATAGCTGTATTCATCATCCTCGATGTCGCAATCTTCCTGTTTGTTATTCAGTTCCGAGTTTCAATCGACAACTTTGTCCACCGAGAGCAAGTAAGAAAACAAACAATGATCTAGAGATTCAAGTGAAAATCGAATATTTCTTAAAGTTATTTCTTCATCATTCACACATCCTCACATATGTGGTTAACATTGATACACGAGCAGTGGAGAAGAGCCGAAGAGCCTTTTTAGAAAAAGTAGATAGAGTGTGACAGAGTCAAAATGAATTGTAATTATCGAAGAAAAGATTTCTTCTCTTTTCATAGACTGTATCTAGCAATTTGAAATACAGAGTCTGTTGCATTTATATCTATCAATACATGAAGATTCAGTGAACTTTTGAATATACATGAGTGACCGAAACAAATTGAATGACTGATCATTCGATTCTATTGTGTCATGCCTTTCTTTATTCACAGTTTCTATTGAATAATTGACTGATTCTTGTGAATATTGAGTTCACTTCGTAGCTTTTTTTTTCAAAACAACTACAACTGATATCTAGCTCGAAAGAAAATACATTTATTATTCTTTCTGTCATGTTTCTAATGACTAAACTTGCGAAATTGAAGACTGATCATTTAGCTGCGACACAGTCATAGATAGCGTTTAAGAGAGCTTTAGTAATTGAATGAGATAAATACACTAGCAGATGGACAATTTATGTGAGAGATCTAAATTACAAATTTCATACTTGAAATAACTATTTTGTATTCTAAAGGCAGCCAGTGGATTTTAATCTTCACTCGTATTCAAAATACAATAAAAGTGATGAATTTGAGCAGGATGGTCTCGATGGATTCGATTCGCTTTACTTTGATTCAGCCGAATTACATCGAATTGAATCGTCGAAAATTTTACTGACTTTTCGGTCTCTAATGAACACAGAAGCTCTCCATCAAAGATTAGTTTCTCAAGAAAAAAAAGTCGTTTTTCAGATCATTTGAGATCGTCGCTCTACTTTGAAACATTGTTTAGGCTTCATCTAAAATTTAAATGTATCGAGTTCTATATTTTCTATAACAATTAATAGCGATGAATAGTACAACTACAAGTACGATTCCAATTACAACTACAACTGCTACTCAACAAATATGTAAGCATTAGATTGACGTTTTATGATCTTGCTAAATACTGTTTTTTTTAATCAAATACATATAGTTGTTTTGTATTCGATATTACTCTGCAGCTAGCTAAAGGTTATATTGATAAGATAAATGATCTTATACCATGAGTTATTCAATGTTTACTATAAGTAAAAACCAAATAATAGTGATCTCCATGTTGGCTAGTTTTCATCACTATCGAAGTGTAATTCGAATTGTTGACAGCTATAAAACGAAATTCATTCTTCCTCTTCATTTTAGAAGAATGCACTTTATTCTGAACGTCTGTTCGTTCTCATCTTCATTTGAATTCAGATAATCTTGAAGTCAGATATCTCAATTCTGTCTGACACCTTTTCAGAAGCATTTCATTCATAATTTTGGCTATCTTGAGATCACATAGAGCTTTTTTTTCTAGTTTTTGGCAAAGAATAAAAATGTCATTGCCGAGTAATATAAAATTAATCAACAGCACAATACGTTGATTATTTAGGAAAACCATTAAAATAGATCCACGAAAAATTCTGATTGTTATATGTCCTTCGTTCATGTCACTTACTAGATATAAATCAATTAAGGCATGTGGATGTAAGTATGAGGATGAGAAATTAGAATATCCACACCCACATCTACATCCTTAGATTCATTTTTTTAAGGAAAATTCACACCCCATCCTCAAGTGAAGTAATTTGAGAATCAATGCAGCAGTTAATTGACGGAAAGTGTGTATGTACGAAAGTTATTGACACAGAACTAAGGAGAGAGTGACGAAACTGATCTCGAGAAAAAATCATATAACCACATACATAAAGAATAAAATATGTTCAATCTCTCGGTATTTCGTCAAAGTTTCACTATATTCTTTAGATTTGAATACTTTAAAAATTGATGAAAATCGCTTTTTTAATTTGGAAAATTTTTCGAAATATCTGCTGCAATTGTTTATACCAACGTATCAGAAATGGGACTACAACATTCTATATCATTTAGAATTCTATGCATAATTTCTCTTTACAAGTCGTACTTGAAAAACGCTCGAAAATTAGATATAAACTGCATCCAGAAATTGACTTTTTTGAAAACCCTTATTCAATAGAATTGTGAAATAATCCATCCACTTCTTTTCGTCTACTAAAGTGACACAAAAAATTAATGTACATGACGTAAAGCGCGCAATCACTAATGCACTCAACCCATTCATTAATTAGTCTTGTTTTTCCCAAAGATTCACCGATGAGTCTTTTTGTCAGAATTTCTCCCAAGCGAAAAGAATGCTAGCTTGAAATCTAGAGTAGTACATGTATCAACTTTCAGTAGTAACAGTCATTCGATGAAAATATCATCGATGACTATATAACTCTATTGAGGAAACAATATTGTACGTTTTCAAGAGCTACACAAAATGTTGATTTTATTATCCTAATTAATAGTAGTTCATAAGAAAAAGAAAAAAAAATACTAACTAGGAAGAAATTATCCTTTTCCGAATTCAAGAGGAAAGGGGATGGGTTTTCCGTTGACACATACGTTGACGCTCTACCTCTCTCTCTCTCTCGCATTCTTTCTTATTGATCATTCCAATTTTTTAAAATTCGATTAAAAAATGATGAAATCATCGAATGAGAGAAAGAGACAGATTATCTAGATGATATTCTTATTAGTTTGTTGGATGGATAGTTCCTGCGGATAGGATACAGAAACAAAGATATATGTGCTGACAATGAGATAAATGAAGGAATGGACGAACAACAAAATAAAATAAAACAATATTTCTAAATTCGAATAATCATCATCTATTCTCACTTTCATATTCCAAGGACTACAATTAGTCCATGTATTTCAATTCCATAGAATTCAGTCACATCATGTCTCACTCTTGCTCATCCGTCCCTTCAGATGAAAACACCCTTTTCTAAAACTTTGTTCTCTCTCTCTTCTGTTTCTTATTGTAACACGTATTTTTCGCTATTTTAAGTTCCACTACGAGCACCTGCTATTGACATTCATCCGAATGCAAAATGGGCTCAGAATGGTCTCACTGTGGCTGGAGGAAATAGAGATGGTAATGGAACAAATCAAGTCTCTAGACCACGGGGTGTGTATGTTGATGATGATCAAACTATTTATGTCGCTGAGTACTCTAATCACCGTATTGTGGAATGGAAATATGGTGCAACGAGTGGCCAAGTAGTTGCCGGTGGAAATGGACCGGGGAAAAGTGCTAATCGGTTATACAATCCAGAAGATGTGATTGTCGACAAAGAGAGAGATAGTCTTATCATTTGCGATACCGGGAATCAAAGAGTTGTTCGATGGCCTCGTCGAAATGGTACTAGTGGAGAAACAATCATCTCGAATATCGTTTGCACCGGTCTGACAATGGACGAGAATGGGTCTCTTTATGTCGCTGGCGATAGAGTAAGACGATACCAAATTGGTGATACTAAAGGAACAGTGGTTGCAGGTATTAATGGATATGGACATGGTCTCGATCAACTCGCTGGCCCCAGCTATGTATTTGTCGATCGAGATCATTCAGTGTATGTGTCTGATTGGGTAACTAGTCGTGTGATGAAATGGGAAGAGAATGCAACAGTAGGTATTGTTGTAGCCGGTGGTCAAGGGAAAGGAAATAGTCTTACACAATTGGATCGTCCTCGAGGAGTGGTTGCCGATCAATTGGGCACTGTCTACGTGGTTGATCAAAACAATAATCGAATAATGCGTTGGCCAAAAGGAGCTACACAGGGAAGTATCATTATTGGTGAAAATGGTCAAGGAGGACGGTCGAATCAATTGTATTTACCCTATGGTTTATCATTCGATCGACACGGCAATCTCTATGTCGCTGATGAGTACAATCATCGAATGCAAAAATTTAATATCGAACAGACAACAAATTAATGATGTTTGTTTATGTGCTTGAAAATGATTTGTATTGAATAAAAAGCAGGATATTCACGATCAATCTATAAATATATTAGATATTCGAGCGCACGACTAGAAAATCGTCCCTCCTGGTGAGAGTAGCAGCCGCTTGACCATGCACGAACATGGCAAGTCCACATGTGCACATATAAACGAACATCAGGTGGACTCGATAGACCCGTATCGTGTTGCCACTACCACCAGTTAGATTTTGCTGATTGAGAGTAGGGGTGTTGATCTGAAAAAGTGTACCAATACGCTCATTCACACCCACACCCTTCTATTCTAATTTGAATAATTGTTCTGTGAAACTGTGATACGTGTATTAATTAACTAATTTTTATTCTGAGACTTGTTAATCTTGGGATTGGATCAACAGATTTCAAAAGATATCGAAGCGAAGTTAACTCAAGTGACGAAAATTATTAATAGAAGAATTGCACTTGTTTATGTATTAGAACTTTCAATTAGATCATCAGTATTTTCACTGTTAATGACAAGTTACCCTTCAATATAAGATGATCTTGATTTCATGTCAACTAGAAATATTTTTTCAGGTACAAAAGATCTTCAAGATCATTTATTTTAAAAAATCGATTTTTATGGTGAAAAAAAATGTTGTTAAAAAATGAATATGCAGTGTATTAAAAGAAAAAGCAGTTTTTAGATTTAATTCTTGCTTGTCGAAAGTACTTTTTCGTTTGACATAAACAGAGTGAAAATAAAAACAACAAAGAAAGAAAGAATGAATGAATTCAATCATCTGATATCTTATGTGACGTATGGTGTCAATTGTTAGTAGAAATTAAGATAAAATATAAAAATCGGTAAGATAAGTAATAGTAAATTAGTATTGAATTTATTGGATTCATTTATTATTGGTTCGACTTCTATGTCGGTCATATTTATTCCCCAATAATTTGTTGTTGAATTCGCAAACACAATGTATAATGTTTGATTAACAGTTGGATTTGAATAAAACCAATCGATTCCGATTAAATTTTCTTTAAAACTACATGTATAATTGATAGTGTCAAAATCTAAATTTAATTGTTGTTATAAAAATTGAAGAATTATTTGTTCTGTACATGTTGATGATTCCATACTACCTTTTTTTGTATGAGATTGAGTCACAGTGACATGAGTTAAACCTTTCATTTCAACTAATTTGGTTCGAATAAATTTCGATTGAAATAATTTTTGAACTTGCTGTGCTGTTGACATCGGCGATATATGATCTAAATCTCCATTAAATAATAATACTCCATTTCGTTGAGATCGAAACGATTGTTGATTAACTTCAAATTTTCCCCAATAATTTGGATTTCTTGTATATATAACATCCTTGAGAACGGATGGTAATGTATAATTAAATTTGGATACTTGTGTTTCATCACAAAATGGTATCGGACCAGGTGGTGCAAAGTTAAATTTATTAAGAACATTATTGCTTATACAAAAATCATTATAAAATGTTGAATTTGTTTTTATATTTTCATTTAAGTTTAGGCCAATAAAATCGCTCCAAATTGTTAGACTTAAAACACTTCCATCATTTGGATATTGTTGAGGTGGATCAATGAAACGTTTCGCTGTAGATTGTTGAGCTACATTAACCATAATTGGCAGTGATTGTGACAAGACTTATTGATCTTCACTTGAACAACGATAGAGACGAGCAATTAAAATAGCTGGTAATGGACGAGTAGTAATCATTTCTATTGCTTGATTTGCAATAAGAATAAATAAATCCCAATTATTTAATCCTAAGTTAGTCGTACAAAGAGCATTTGTTAGATTTGTCTGAAAAAGTGTTTGTAATGTTAATGTTACACTGATTATATCTTGATTACTTCCAATGACAAGACTAAATGCTTTTGAACATAATTGATCTTGTTGACATTTTGATAAATATAAATAAAATCGATGATTTAAATTTTTAATTTGATTTTGAAATACATCAGAATCTTTTATTGACATAACTCCATCAAGAATAATTCCATCGATGATTTGAATTTGAGAATTAATTGATTGAATCGTTAGATAAGTTTCTATAATGCCACTTCCTAATTTTGAAATAAATTCAACGATTCAATTCATATATACAAGTATTATCAACAACTAACAAAAGAGATTTGATCACTAAATGACAAAATCTACTTTAAATTTTTGTATTTAAAGACATAATCTCAAAAATGAATGAAGGTACAAGTTGAAAGTCAATGAAAATGTTTTTTATTCTCAAATATTGATTATTTTCAGACAAAGATGATGTCATTGGTTACACTGTTCAATTCTTTGTTCAGAACACATCGAACTATACCAGAGGAAAATTCTTTACCCGGACTTCTAGATGGTTTTCGGACAGATCTTCGGAAAACCTCAATGGTTTTCATGAGTTTCATGTTGAATTTTCATTTTTAACACGTTATTTCATGGAGAAAACTATTATATCTCGAGCTATGCCAAGTTGGTCTTTCTAGCTTGATCTGTTTGAGAGTTATGAGGATTTTTCAGAGATGCCAGATTTCAGCCGATTAACTCTGGATCAGTCCAAGATAGGTCTAGAGAAGAGTAATCAACCATGCTGAGTCGAGTGGTGATATCTTTTTCTAGTTTCAAAGCTATCTGGCGTCACAAGCTTAGAGTTTTTCAAATATCACCATCCGACTCAGCATGGTTTTTTATTCCTCTCTAGACCTATTTTGAATTGATCCAGAGGTAATCCGCTAAAATCTGGGATCTTTGAAAAATCCTTATAACTCTTGAATGAAACAAGCTAGAAAGATCAGCTTGTCATAGTTCGAGAGATAATAGTTTTCTCCATGAAATAAATGCGTTGAAAATGAAAATCCAACATGGAAACCATGAAAACCATTGAGGTTGTCTAAAGATCTGTTTGAAAATTCTCTAGAAGTCTGAGCAATGAAATTATTCATAAAACTTGTAATTTTTATGCACCTTATAGTCAAAATCAAGTTAATGCTTTTAATGATATAGATCTTTCTGCACGGGTCTGAAAAAAAGCACATTTACTTCTGTGAGAAAAATTTAATGAGCTCAATCAATTTTGCAATAACTACATTTGTCAGATTCCTCGCGCATATAAATCGAATGAAAATGAACGCTTGAATTTGACAAGTGTATCTTCTCAGTTCTAGAATTAATACGAATCACTTAATCGAACAATTAATTTGCAGTATGACATAATATTGGTCTTTCTTCTCATTCTCAAATTCGTCTACTGTTTTTCATACGAGACTTGCAAAGAGATTGACACATTTATTTTTATCTCTTATCATCTTTTATTATTAGCATCAGAAAAAAATATCCTTAAATATATCAAGTTTGTTGATAGAAAAATCGAATGTTAGTCTTTTGTCGTTCGTTTTATAGATATTTTTGATAAAAAAAAAAAGATTGAATAACCAACATAAAAATCGTATTACTTTTGTCTATGAGAAGTGAGTAGACAAAAGATGAATAATATACATTACGATGAGATATTCTGTATTTTCTTAAAGCATGTTATATTTAAATTTGAATTACCTTGGCTCAATCCATAAATATAAGTTGATGTTGAAGTTGTTGGTTGCGATTGATTTATTGAATATTGAATTTGATATTGTAAATCTTGTGCAATATTTGCATTTGTCATTGCATTTATTATTCTCAATGATTGATCAGTTGAAGTTGGAACTGTTGTTGCAATTAATTCTTTAGCACAATCAATCCAATTTGTTGCTGTATAACAATGAATCGATGGTTTACTCATTCCTGCTTCTCTATATTGAAATAGATACATTATGGGATGTGTATTAGAATAAATCTTATGATAATTATTTAAAACAATTTCCTCTAGCATAGATACTCCAAATTTTTCCATAGCATATTGCGAACCACCACCACCATTAACAAGCCAATAATTGATAATGTGTTTCGTAGATGAATCATTTCCTGGTGGGAGATTAGATAAAAACAAACGTTTGATATGTAGATCTGTCTATGGAATTTGTTTTGTTGAATTATAATATGGACCATCGAATGTATTTGGATTAAACTGATCCCATTCGAGTGGACTTGTTAAATATATACATTCGGCTCTCATTGTCAAATTTTCTGATATAGTTTTAATAAATGATTCATCGTTAAAAGAACACGGATACCAAGCTATTGTCATTGAACACAAGTTGAAAATCAAGAGTAATCGTTTATTCATTTTAGAAAACATTCGTTACTATCAATCTATTTGTATCAAAAGATAATTAATGAATAATTTCGTGTATTTATAGAATGAGACTGAAATAAAGATGTGTACTACAATTTCATACAGCAACTATTTGTCGAACAGCAATCTGAGATAACGTTTCTTTTTTAATACTGTGATAGGCCTCACTATCATATGACTTATCTTCTATATGAGGCATCCTGTTGTGTATCAACGCGGTTTATTGCTGTCAACTTATCTCTTTCTCTTGTATCGCAGTGTTAATTCGTTTTCTTTCTCTCCTTCTCTTCTTTCTGAGTGGCTATATTTACTTATGTTCGCATGCTGCATCACCAGTCAATAGATTCATGACCTGGTTGTTCGTTATAAATACGTTTCTTTTCTTTTACTCTATAAATATTTGATGTTCGATTTCACATCGAATTAAAAGTTGACTACCTTGAGACTAATAATAATCCAGCATGATAAAAATATTGATTTTATCTTACCTTTCTTTTAAACATCGAAACGGCATTTGGGATCAATTTACCACCATTTAATATTCCTATGAAGAAGTAAAAAAACGATACAGCGATCAAAATTAAAGCAACTAGAAATATAAGAGTCGTTGAACATAACTGAGTTCTAATACAACACGTTGCATTATACTCAAATTTAGTTAATAATATGGAGGGGGAGAGAAGTTACTGTTAGGTTACCAAGTAACTGGTAACTCAAAAGTTACTAGTTACTCGGTAACGGTAGCTCCATGTAAAAATTTTTAGCAATTTAATGAAGTTTTGTGACGCGAAAATTCGTTAAAAATTTAACTATGTAACAAAATTTAATGTTACCTTTTTGACCCTAAAAACGCGTTCAACTCGTGCAAATTTAACGGGATTTTTTTCTTTAGGGAAAAGATCGTTTAATGAGCCTTTTTTCGTTGAAAAATAGGCGATTTAACGCGTTTTCATGATCAAAAAAGTAACAGTTTTTTTTGTTAAATCTTTAATGATTCTTCATGTGGTAATTTATGAAAAAAACGCGTGAAATTACGTCAAATATTTAATCTGATTTATAGGAGGTGAGTGTGGGTGTAGTGGAGATATACACCCATACCCTCAAGTTATTTCTGGTCACCCATCGAAATGTGTGTTACAATTCCAGGTGATGCAGATAAACGTATCGAGTGTATAATCTCGACCGACACAATTAACAATTACAACAACAGCCCAATGAAGAAAATCATCATGATTACAAATGGCATACAGTGCACGTGAGGTTCACTATTTCTTGCAGTATATGATATAAGATATACAACAGAGTAACTAGCAAATCGTTTATTTCATCGATTGGTCAGCCTACATCAATTTATACAGGTCTTTGGCTTTTGGCTCAAATTGAAAACTATCATTGAAAACACGAAGAATATATGATATTTTTGGAGGACATAGTAGAAAATCGCTCTATAATTTGTAACAATAAGACAGAATAGAAGACATCGGCTCATTCATAACGTGAAGAACATTATATCAAATAAACTGTTTTCTTCAATTTAACATAAAAGTAATAATCAACAAACGATTTCACATAAAAACTCATCTGGCGGTTTTATAAATACAAAAAGACTGGACACATATGTTCACCACAAATGACGTAGTTTAGCATGATAGTCATATGATATAAGAAGACAAGCAAACGACTATAAAATAAGCATACCTTTATTACGTTCGACATCGAAATAATACTCTCACCTTTACGCATCAGTTGTACATATTCGAAAGAAAAAAGAACTAACTACATATTTTAATTGCTGATGCACAAAAATCTCGAAAGTGAAAATGTCTTAACGAAAATCTGAAAACTGAAAAATATCGAAAAACAAACGGTCTTGTCCTTGATGATTAGATCAAATGATTTGAATGATTTCTGCAAATTGATCTATACAAGTATATACTTCTCCATACATGCGAGAAGAAGCGAAATCAAGATAGGGAACAATAAAGAGAAAGAGCAAACATCTATTATGGCATTCTATTTTGAACAGAGTAAAAAGGCATGAGATACAATGAAATGCAGACAGTCCTTTAAGATTGAGTGGGGGCGACATCCTAACAATTTTCTTTTATCATTACTAATTTTGCTTGGACCGAAAATCGATCACCGGTCGCGGTGACAAAATTTGCATACATTAGCATTTTGCCCAGATCAAGCACATCGATGACTTGAGTGCCATCTGCTTCTTTCCAGAACATCAACAGCAAGTCGCTGCGAATTTGCGTTCGTTCAATCTGTTCAGTGGAATTTTTACCCGTCAATCCGTTCGGCGCGGCACGATATTCCCAATGCACTTGATTTTCGTCTACAAAGGTGATGCGTAGATGATAGTCACCCACACGATATTCAAAGACTTTGCATTTCAGTTGGCTAGGTTTCAATGCAGATATTGGTAGTTGGACTACACCTATCTGGACAGTTTCACCTGCTATTTCAAGCCACTATCATCATCAAATAAGTTTCCTATAAGTTCGAACTTACCTAAAAAGTGTAGAACGAGCAGTAGTTCGATAAGCAGCTGAATAAACATCGTAGTCTGAAATGTGAATAACTTATATAGCCTCATTTATTCATATTACTGTCAAAATTTAACTACAGTAATTTTCTGAATGAAGATGAAAGTCATGAGGCGCGAAAAATACAACATTGACTGTTCAGAACTAGAAAAGCATTCATTTGTATTGTCTTTTTAATGCTCACTAATCCATATTACATTGTAGTACAAATAAAAAGAAATAATTATGAATTGTCTTATACTTTGAAGAAATTAGAATGCTTTACTGATTTGCATTAGAGAATGTATTTTTATTGGTAGCTATTTTCTTCTTCGGACTACAACAAGAATGTTATGTTCATCTTTGCATTGAAGTACTTTTTAAAAATGTTGAAAACAGATAGTTTCACAGTATTTGCATCTTCCTTTTCGATGATTACAGTGATAATGAAAGAGAAATAGAAACGCATGGTATTACTTACGTATAGTCGCGTCAAATGAAGATAATGATGTAAGTAACCCCAAGCTATATTTTTTCTTGTTACTATATACAACAAGAGAGAGCATGTCTTAATCTTCGCTCTGCCTAATCCTTCGAAAATGACTG